GTGTTCACAGCTCACCATCGAACTTTGAGCCTTCAAATCCATGTGTGTCTAGAATTATCCATGTTTGAAAGTTAAAATGACGACTCGTCTTTTCTTGAGACACTGTCATATATAGAAAAGACATCTATAGAAATAGTGAGTAAAATTCCTAGTTTGAGATATTTTTAAAGGAATTATGTGATTTTCGTACATTTCTAGTACATCTGAAGACTATTTACATATATTCAAGGCTCAAATCAACCTCCCAAAATGGCGCACCTGTCCCTTTAAGATACTTTACATGTTCATCCCTCAAAAAAAGAGGAATTCCTCTAAAATAAGGATTACACACATCATATAAATATAACTAAATTAATCATACCATATATATCACAATAAATAATGGAAATTTTCAGTCAAAATCTTAAAAACATAGGCTAGAGTTAGGGCAATCTAACTTTAATTATATTTCAATTTCGCATCTTTTTTGTTTTTATATTTTTAATCTCCATGGTAATCTAACACGTTTTCTACCTAAGGTCTGTCCCAAAAGGTAGTATTTTTAACCAATCAAATTATGTCTCGTAGAACCTGTTTCTTGATATAAAAAACTAAGGAATTGTGGGATTTAGAAACTGAAAGTAGAGCAATATGACAACCTCTTGTGTTTCTCTATCCCACAATTCCTTATTTTTATCAAGAAACAGGTTTTATATGACACGCTTTGATTGGTTAAAATTAACATCATTAGGACAGGCCTTTGACTTAAAAAAACAGAAAACAAAAAAGATACAAAATAGATTGCCCTAAAGATGGGTTCCCTTGTTTTATTTATGAAAATGCTAACACTTATATGAATAGAAAGTAGAGGTGTTCTAATGACTTGGAAAAATACCAGTTTGTCTCACATGTCCATAATCAATTTATAATAAGCTAAATTAGAAGAGAATTACCAGCAGAATTCCAATTCAATGACCGATCAAGAAAGGTCAAAAAGTCTTTTTTTGTTTATCCAGACTGTACATACGTAGACATTTATGATTGGTTAAAACTCTTAATTATATGCAATAAGAACATAATGATATGATTAAGAATACATGATAATTCATTAGAAACGCCAATTAATCAAAAAGTTGGCTTAATTTGACACTAAAAAATAAGGAAACCCATCTTTAACATAAAAAATAACATAATTCCAATTTAATGACAACTCAAGAATATACGTCTCAATAATGTGATCATTCTAAGCTAACCCAGGGGAATAGATGATGCTACAAACATTGCACATAATATATTAAAACATAACAAAATGAAAATAAATTGAGCAAAATACATCACAAGATGGAATTTTGAAAATAAAAAATATTCAGAGTCAAGTTTTTTTCAGAATTTTGCAGGCGCTGAGATTCCAAGTTAACATTTTTAACAACATAAATAAAAACAAAAATAATTTTTGAGATCCAAATTTGGAAAAAAAAAAAAAATAAACAAAAATGGGAATTGAATCGAAAAAATTTTAAAATTTGGTCCCAAATTTTTGAAAAAATATGACCAAAAAATGGAATAATGAAATTTTGAGATTCGAATTCGACCAAATTTTTTTTTAGAAGAATAATATCATTTGGTTTGTCAATTGGTTTATTTTTAAATTTGAGATCACTGGTTTGCAGGGTTCGTTTTTGATCAATTTGATCAGCCATTGGTACCCCAATTTTCAGTTTTGGTACAACATAAAAATATTGGTCCGCATTTCATAAAAACTAAGTAGAAATTCCAAATATTCTGGATAGTTTTGGCCGAAGATTCTTACGGAAAATATACAATTTGATTTGATTCGTTAGTTATTGTGAACATTTTTAATTTTGGCCAATCAGAAGCCGCCTTTAGATAGAAGCAAATTATCCAGTTCCGCAGAAAAAGTGGCAGTGTAAACAGGTTAAGAGGCCTCGGCACCGTGCCATTTTCACGTAGTCTCGGTGCAGACCGAAGACGGCACGGCAAAATATCAATGCAGTGTAAAAGTGCCACTGGGCCGAGCCTAGTTACCCAAGGAGATGTGCGCATGAGCAAAAATGACCTTGACCCTATGACATGTAATGTCGTAATAAAATACATTTAAAATCTCAATGTTGGTTATAGGAAATCTCATTTAACATTGCTCGAGATTTTGTTTCATTTTTTTCAGTGGGGTGATTTGATCATTCTACAATCTGTATACATTATAAAGAAGAATCTGTTCAAGGCCAGAACAAATTTCAACCAATCAAATGCCATTTTCGACTTTTTCTACTATTTATAATGAATTTTGATTGGTTACCATCAATTATGATAATTAGGTTGAATTTATGACATCATCAGGTCAAAGTTCAGTTAAACTTAATACAAGACAGGCCTTGTCAGATATAGAATGAGTGAGGTACCCATAGAATAAAATGAAACAAAATATCCTTAAAGAAAAAGACTTATTGACTTATGGAATGCGATTGGAATTTGTGCATATAGTTGCCATGAAAGTTTAAAAATTCTAAGTACCCTGTATATATACAATTAAAACAATACAAATTATGGTGGCCAATTTAGGACACAATTTAATTTTTTATCTCCGGTGGGCGAATTTCAGAATGGCGCTCCCTGGAGATAATGAGATTCTCTGTCTTTGAGATTAACATTCGACTTCCATTGTGATGCCATCTTTCGGTGAAAATATGGTCAGGATAGCATTAAAATTCGACCAAAATTTCAGACCACTCTCCAGCCAATCAGAATCATTTTTACAAGCGAGTATCGACAATCTCATTGGTCATATCGCTCTACTTTGGGTTTCGCTATCCCACAATTCATAGTCAATATTACAACACAGATTCACACACTGTGATTGGTTGAAATGAACGTCAACAGTACACAACCTTGGTATAAATCTAGTTAGATTACGATGGAGACCGATAAAAAAAATAATAAAGAAACAAATCTAATTTTAAGTCGATGTGTCCTAAATGAGCCACCATATAATAAAAATATATTTTTAAGGAATCATTTAGTTGTTTGAAAATATATAGAGGCTTTTCCACCTTTTCTGTTATCCGAATAGGCAAAGATGTCATCATTACGTTTCATAATGGCGTTTACTACACTAATGCCTTCGGGCTGTTTCTCCAACTTGGTATGTCCATGGTCTTTTAAATACTCGAGAACTGAGTCAGAGATTCCTTCTGAAATACCAGAATTAATGAAATTTTAACATAAAAAATTTGAAATATCATAAAAAGAAATATTAATCAAAATAATAGAATTAATGAAATATTAATTAAAATACCAGAATTAATGAAATATTAATTAAAATACCAGAATTAATGAAATATTAACTAAAATATCATATTAATGAAATATTAATTAAAATACCAGAATTAATGAAATATTAATTAAATACCAGAATTAATGAAATATTAATTAAAATACCAGAATTAATGAAATATTAATTAAAATACCAGAATTAATGAAATATTAATTAAAATACCAGAATTAATGAAATATTAATTAAAATACCAGAATTAATGAATATTAATTAAAATACCAGAATTAATGAAATATTAATTAAAATACCAGAATTAATGAAATATTAACTAAAATACCAGAATTAATGAAATATTAATTAAAATACCAGAATTAATGAAATA